AAAAGCCCTCCCGGCCACCACCGATGCCTGAGCCTCAAGCGTGAGCGATGAGTCCAGGAGGACTCCCAAGCTGCGTACCTGTGGCTTCAGGGGGAGTGTAGCCCCGTCCAACACAGGTTGCCACCCTATACCCCAGTCTGGTTTGCGATCGACCAGGAGGACCTCTGTCTTGTTGGGATTGATCTTCAGCTTGTTCGTCCTCATCCAGATGGACACAGCGGCCAGGCACTCGTCTAGCACCCGAGAGGCCTCCTTGGAATTAGGTGGAAAAGAGTAGTAGAGTTGTGCGTCATCTGCGTAGAGATGGCACCCAACTCCAAAACTCCGGATGACCTCTCCCAGCGGTTTCATGTAGATGTTAAAAAGCATGGGAGATAAAATAGAGCCTTGCGGGACCCCACAGGTCAAAGGCCAGGGCTCCGAGCAGGCATCTCCCATCTTCACCATCTGGGTTTCGTCCCTACAGGAAGGACCGGAGCCACGACAGAACCGTGCCCCCAAGACCCATCCCAGAGAGCCAACCCAGAAGGATACCATGATCGATGGTATCGAAAGCCGCTGAGATCTCCAAGAGGACCAGCAGGGTTACACTCCCCCTGTCCAGTCCTCTACGGAGGTCATCCACCAAGGCGACCAAGGCTGTCTCGGTGCCATGACCAGGCCTGAAACCAGACTGTGCCCGATCCAGGTAATTGATGTCATCCAGGAAGCCCTGGAGCTGGAGGGCGACCACCCGCTCCAGCACCTTACCCAAAAAAGGAAGGTTGGAGATTGGTCTGTAATTGTTCAGCACCATAGAGTCAAGGGACGACTTTTTTAGGAGTGGACGAACCACAGCCTGTTCCAAGTTAGATGGAAAAATCCCTTGCTCCAACGATGCATTAATGATCAACACAAACCAATCAACCAACCCCTTCTTGGCAGATTTAATGAGCCAGGATGGGCAAGGGTCTAGAGCCGAAGTGGTCGCCCTCACAGCACCAAGAACCTCCTCCACGGTCTCAGGAAGAACAAGCCGAAAGGAATCCCACAAAATTGGACAAGCAGATGCCTCAGTCACCTCCTCTGGCACTGCGATGAAATTGGAGCTCAAGACATATCTGGGCAACCTTGCCTGCAAAATGGTGTGCGAAATCGCAACACCGAGCTGCTGGGTCGTCAGAGATCT